CTTATTTGCTCTCAAAACTTACAGTGTTACTTGACTTTGACAAAAAAAATATAAATAAAACTTGTTCCGTTTATTTGTGACAAAACACAATCAATCAACTATCATTCAAGTAATCAATGTCAGCTCTAATACCACCAGCAATGTACGTCTTCAATTTTTTCTGCAAACCTAGGATAATAAAAATTCTATTTAAACACTTTTTTTATACATTATAGGCCGTACCTCAGTCTTACTGATACGCATCTGCGAAATTACTTCACAAGAAATCGCATAAGAGAGCATTTACGCAGGGCCGGTTTAGTATGTTTTTCTTCTATGATAAAGATCTTTATATTTTTTTCCGACTTTTTCTGTGTATGTAGATAAAAAAAAATGGGCACATTGTAACAGAGGCTGAGTACGAAGACCGACTAATGGATATTGAACTTCGACAACAAAATCAACGTAAATATGATGAGGCATTACTTGAAGTGTAAAGTTTTGAATGGATAATATACCATTATTGAGGTTATTTATCCAACATTTCTTTTTAGATTGATTGAATTAGGTGAAGGACAATACAAATTACTATGCCAAGAAATGGAAAAAATCAAAAAAGAATTGCAATATCAATTTCGACGAATAGAAGTATTTTGTTTACAATTGATTAGTATAAAGAGTTTCATTATTATTTACTAATAGAAAAAATATGCGCGACGCATAAATCCGGTTAAGATTGGAGTAACACGTTATGGTCATCTAGAGACAGTAATGTATCATTTAGTATCAAAATGTCTCGTTTAATATGCTTGTTTTTCAATGTAGACAACCGATATCGAACATTCTACAGATGACCAAATACCGAATGATATTCCAGACGAGTTATCCGTACCGTAAGTCTAGCGAAAAAAGAACGATTTATGACAAAAGAGTTTTTTTTATTTTAAACGTTGAAGAACACCATAAATCAGGGCTCTACGGAACGGCTGAGAAATCGTACCATTGTGTCTCGCTCTTCATGTTTTTTCTTCATCCTGTTTTCCTTTCGAAAGTCTTTGATGAACTTTGCTCATTTTGTAAAAAGTGCTCTGTTATAGACTTTGACAATATCTGACAATTGAGGTGTTTGTATTGTCAGTTTAAGAGATTATATATATTCGGGTCGAATTGAAACTTTCACCGCTAAATTAAACAATTTTAAATATAGACTGCTGTTGACTTGCGTCGACTGAGATATTCAAATTTTAAGGCATTAAAAGTCTATGTGTGATGGTCACAATCCAAAATTTTAGCAAAATTGTTCCTTCTTTTTTTTCTTGATCGTTGGATAAAGTTCGTTGAATTGCATTACTGAATATGTTTCATATTTAAAAAAGAGATTTAAAAATAAGATTTCTCCTCATATTTGGAAAAAAAACGGTAGCTTAGAGTTTTTGTCCAATAACATTTTTTAAAATCTCTTTTTAAAATATGCAACACATATTTTGTAATTCGATTCGACAAGATTTATTCAACGATCACGAAAAAAAAGAAGGAATAATTTTGCTGAAATTTTGGATTGTGACAATCATACATAGATTTTAAATGCCTTAAAACTTGAATATCTCAGTTGACACACAACAACGGCAGCCTATATTTTAAATTTGTTAGTTTGACGGTGAAAGCTTCAATTTGACCAGCATATATATAAGTTCCTCAATTGACAACACAAACACCTTTATTGTGAATAGTGAAATTTTCGAGCTATTTTACTGCACTTGAGTTTTTCCAAATGTATGGACATATGCAGATTCAATACCACACCAATTAATTCAGTTTCAATCCTGGCAAGTATTTCATCAAGTCACCATGATTATCGATGTACAGTTAATTTGTTTCAAAATATGATTGAAATTTTTTAAAAAACAATTTTTCATTGAAAAAAGCATACTCTTATTTTAAGTACTAAAAGTAGTAATTTGAGTCTCTTTCATTGATTAATTTTATCTAAAAGAGAGTTTTAAGATAGTAAATGTATGTTTTTAAGTATATGATTGGATGCTATTATTATATTGTTTAATGTTAAAAGTACTCTAGTACGAGGATCAACTCTTGTTTCTTGCGTATTTAAGTTCGAAACACAAAATATATCATATCAATAATTCAGAAACTATCTTTTTTGTATATTGATCATTTGAATTTGTTGAAGAACATTTGATCCGTTATAACATGAAGAAAGTATTTAACAATATTTTGATGTTAACTTGCTGCATCACACTGCAGATGTAATAGATGGGTGTGGGTGTTATGTAAATCTTCTTTTCTACCGCCCACACCGACACTCATACCTTTATTTCGAATATATGAAAAAAGTCTGGAACCTCTAGAATAATATGTACAGTCGTTTTCATTCGAGACTATAAAATTACTACGCTGTCCCATTTCATTTCGTCTACTAATGCCTCTCATTTATTTCTCTTTATCATGTTTCGTTCTGATCTTGTGTTTCGTTAAGCTCTGTTATCAACTCAATCGTATGATAATGCTTTATTGTCACTAATGATTTAACATTTAGGCCTTTTCATTTATTCAACCGGCCAGAGAGAAATCGTCTTGATGAAATTCAAAAAAAACTCGATGAGTTCATTGATAAAATGAATATATTAGCAGAAATAAATGCAAATAATACTTTCCTTTTGGATATGCCAGAAACAATTCGTCGATTGAGAGAAAATCAAGAACAACTTAGAAAACAACAAGAATCGTGGAAGAGAGATTACGAAGAAAAAGAAATTCAACGGACACATGAAATGAAACGGGAATTCGAATTATTGCATCAACAAATACAAAACTCTATTATTGATAAACGGCAAATTGAACAATTGATTCAAACATCCGTCACTATTAAAGATCTACGTGAAAGTATTTCTCGTATGCGTCAATTATATGATACCATACCAGAAGGGTTTACACAGGCAGCATTAAAAGCACCATTTACAGCAAATGAAACAGAAACTATAGAAAGAAAACGTCCTATAGAACAATTAGCTAGTAATGTTGATAACCATGGTAAAAAATTGGATAATCGACTTAATAATATGTCGACAAAACCGATGACGCCAGCTAAAACTATTTCTCGTGAAGAAGTTGAAAAACTTATTCTTGAAACTATTCGAAATTTGAAACTAACAGAACAAAACGATAATAGCGAATTACGTAAGTTAATCCAAGACATGAATGATAGACTTGGAAAGTTAGAAAAACAATTCAATCAACTTTCACAATCCAATAGCATTAATAATATTCGTAACAGTAGCAAAGAACCGGACGATCAAACAACTATAAAAAGTCAACCATATTCACAAAAAGAATCACTAGGTAAGCCAGTTCATCACGAACAACAACCTAAGTCAGAACCAGAGTTGCCATCGAATTCGTCTACTCAAGTGCACGACATTCTCTCAATTGAACAACGCCTAACTCAAATTGAAGATCGTTTGAATGCATCTAGATATAACGAGGCGAAACTAAACGATTCTATTCGTAATGTACCACTAGTGGGAAATGCTACACAAACTCAATCAATGGTACCCACATCTAATCCTCAACATCCAGGATCGGCACAGAAACTGAATGTGAACAAAGAAACTTTCCCGACAGAAACATCAAAACAAACGAGTGTTTCACAGTCCAATAATGGTATTAAAAAGACATTAAAAGACCAAAAGACCATATTCACTAATGGTATCGATCGAGGACTTCATGATGATCATGTCCCTAACTTACAGAAAAATATAAACGATTATTCAGTTACGATTCAAAATCTTCAAAATCAAATCGATAATCTCAGCAAAACAAAACCAGATCGACAAGCAGTCGATGACCTTATCAAATCTGGTGAACAAAGAAATGGACAAAAAATTAATGATTTACAAAAACATGTGAACAAGTATGAAGATGATTTGAATAAGTTCAATGCAGATTTGGCTGCTCTTCGTCGTCAATTAACTCAAAAGCCAACTTCAACAGCTGTACCATCAACAAGTAAAATTCCACCTACAAAAATCGATAATGAAGAACAGTTTCAAGCAATTATGCCTTTTATTGAACCCTTGCCTATATTTGCTATGCTTATTGAGAATGAATGGGGGTGAAATTTATTAAAACTACAATATGAGCGATTTGCAATCTCATTGTACCGTTTGTCAAAAAAAAGTTCCAAATAAAAATGTTATGATCCGCTGATTTTTGTTATTTTATCTTCAAAGATAAAGAGATTTCGGGAGATTATTATGCTGCCTGGGAGTCATTTTTTATAAATCATTAGAAATTGATATAAACTAAAAGTGCAACATATAATTCGATAAATATTGGCGAGACGAATTCAATGACACATGTTGCATTCCCATAACATCTGTATACCAACTTCTACGGTTAATAGCGTTACATTTGCTTGGATTAGAACCAACTTTGGATAGGTTAACAGAAATTTCCACTAAGAAACAATAAACAACTAGGAGCTATCGGAGAGAACTCCACTCCGCTATAAGAACTACAAAGAAAAGACACTATTTTTTTATCAAAAAACTAATGTCTTTATTTCTCTATCATTCGAGATCATTCCGAATCTTTTATATAAATTTGTTTGTTTCCGGCAATGTTTTTAAAGTCGTGAGACAAAAAGTCGACAGACCATGTCATTCAAACAGCTCAAAAACTGGCAGTCAACCATAGTTTTTTTCTTAATATTTGTTTTGAATCTCAGCACATGAATATTTTTGAACTCTTGGGAAAATGTTAGATTGCAGCTCGTCATTCATATTTTCTGAACGCTAAAAGTATCCTTAATAAAATGGTTAAGAAGTTAAATTAAAAGTAAGAACCGAAGGTGACAAAGTGAAATCCTATATTCAACCAATAGGCGGCGCTAAATATGCGGATTTTGACATTTTTAGCATTCATAGTATGAGAACTATATATGATAAAAAAAATTAATTTTTTTTAGCATGGCATTGAGGGTTACATAGTGGATCAAGCAAAAAAAAAATATTCAAAGCGATCAATTGAAACTAGGGTTATTACGAATATTTGTTGAAAATTGAACTGGTGCGATGAGATTGCAAAGCGTTCATACGGTTAAAACATTTAATCTTGAATAAAAATAGATTTTGATCCATATGTTACTTTTTTTTACAGTTCTAATTTTCATTATATTTCTTGAGACCTGATGATTGTAGTTTTTCAGGATCATTTTTGTACCAACAAAATTCTTCCCATGAAGGTTCACGACAACCAAATTTTTTTACATCCATGTACTTGTCAGCTCTAATATCATTTTCTTCAAATTGAACGCCAGGTCTTCGAAAGAAATCATATGTATTCCAATGATCTGCATCATTAGTAGCATCTGTCGGTTCGATTTTCGTCAAAGCAATATGACAATAGATCTCCGGCAAATAAGACAAATGACATATGGACTTAATAAAAAAATCATTTAAATCAGAAATATCGTTTACTTTTGAAACTTCGAGTTCTGTAAGACTATTAACAAGAAGTTCAAATGCATACTGAACAATACTCTGGATATTGGAAGTTTCACGTTCATTAAAGACACGGTTTTTAGATTTTCGTAAGCAATTACAACATGATTTACAGCGCTTAGTACACCAACATGATTTCTTTTCGTCATTTTTCTTGATAATATTTAGATCATCTTTAGAAGCACAAAATCGTTGAATTTGTCGTTTGTACATAATAGTTAATTTTTCAGCAATTTTATCAGCGGCCTCATTCAGTTTCTCTCGATCATCGAGACATCCCACATGTATTAATGCATTTTGAATATGAATTTCATCGATCTTCTTCAAACCACCTTCACATATACCGAAAACAGTTTTAACAACTTCACCACCCATAGGTAAAAAATTACATAAATATCCAAGTAGCATAGGAATGTAAGATACTTTGGTAAAAGTACCTGTAAGTGCATGTTGAAATATACCTGTTGTAGCTGCACGTGTAGCATCGAACAAATTACATAAACGAATCACTAACATTGTATAAAATTCACGTTGCTGAAGAGAATGTTTGAATTTTTCGCTTGTTTTTTGCATCATTTTAACTTTGTTCAATGTGATTCGGACATATACAGAACGAAATACATTAAAAGGATTATTCGATTTTGTATATGAAAACTCATTCAGTTCATCTAATTTATTTTGTAAATCTTCCCAATTAGAATCCAATGCATTTTTTTCGAGTATTTCAGCCATTTTTTGAATACCTTCCATTGTTGCAGTAACAAACTGGTTGACGACACGTTCAGATGATACTCCACCTGGATATTTATTGCACAATATTTGAGCTTCATAAAGTTTGTTAATAGCAAATGTTAAATTATGGTACATTGTTCTAGTACCCGAAAACTTCAGTGCATCTAGAATATGTTTTTGAGCTGAATGATGATTCTTTTCAGGATCATGTGTATATGGAGCAAGTTGTTGTTGATGTTCGGCTATTCGTTGATGTTGCTCTTCGATAGGTAATCCTTGCTCTTTGCAATGTTTTAGTGCTACTTCAGCTTCATGTAATTTTCTTTGATGAAAAACGCGAGGATTATCCTCGTCTCGATTATAATTATGGGTATGATAGAATGTTTGATAGATAGATGGTACCATTGAATTTGATTCACCAAGTTCTAATGCATATCGATGATCATTAACAGCAGCATCATGTCGACCTAATGTAAAATGAAGCATTCCACGTGCATAGAATACATCAGATTGACGATTATTTAATGATATTGATTTGTTAAAATTGATTAAAGCATCATGTACATCATTGAGAGCCATATTTGACATACCTTTACGAAAGAATATTCGATCAGCTATTGTCGATGAAGTTGATCTATTGGAATTATTAAGTATACGTTGATAATCAGCTATTGCATTATCATGACGATTAAGACTTGCATAGGATAAACCACGTCGAAATCGAACATGATCATCGAGTATTTCAACTAATGCAGATGACTTATTATTATTATTATTATTATCTTTTAATTGATTTTCATAGCACCGATTAAATTCTTGAAGTGCCTGATCATGTTGACCTAATTCATTATAAGCACAACCTTTAAGAAAATGATCATTACTTTGTATAATAACAATATATAAGTCATCTCGAGCTGCTTTAAAGTCGGCACAAAATGCACGAGCTCATCCTCGATGTAAATAATAAACTTTTTGTTTATCTTCCATACTGCCACTACTCCTATCAATAGCGTCGGTAAAATGATGTACAGCTTGTTCATTTCGATTCAATGCAGCATGAATAGTGCCGATCGAAAAATATGCTTTGTGAATAAGGTCACTTTTTTGTTCTTTCATTCGATTTAAGAACTGTCTGTAATTATCCAAAGCAAATTTGAATTGATAAAGTTTTTGATGAGCAAAACCACGTTTATATAGTGCTTGAAGTTCGTATTCAGGTGATAAAGTTGATGACGAAATAGCTAAATTAAAGTCTTCAACGGCTTGTTCAAATTTATTAAGATGAACTCTTGTACAACCACGATAATAAAGACCAAGTACATTAGTCCGATCAGATGAGAGTAATAAATCAAATTCAGTCTCGGCTTTGGCATAATCATTATTTCGTGCGTATTGAAGGCCTCTGGTAAGATGTTGGTTGACTGTTGTCATAACTACTGATGTATTTTATGCTGAGAAGAAAGGAAAAAGTGTAAAAGAGAAGCGTTTATGTTTTTCTTTTGAGGATCGTAATAATAAATAGTATCGATTTTTCTTTTTTCTCTCATTTATTTTTTTTCACTGGAGAAAAACTGATTCACATACAGTTGATGTTAAAATCGAACGACTCTTAATTCTTCGAAGAAAAAACTCAATATAACGTACATAAATCAACAACAAGAAATTCTTTCCTGATGAAATTCTTCTCACATTTTGGGGACAAAAACGCGAAGATTTAGGGAAGACTGAGAGTGTCGATGAACTACTCATTGAATTCCATTAATGTGCTCACATCCACACATCTTATTCAGTTAACGTCAATCGACGTTTTGTCCTTTTATAGACACAGTCTATTTACACTTATGCAACATCATTATTACATCCAACAAAATATATCTCGTAAATTAATGAACACATTAGAATGCGGGGTTGACAGTAGTCGGATTCACAATAGGTCACCTAGTCTGAAGTAGTTTTTTTCGGGTCGAGTGGACCTAAATATCTGGGAGATGGTCCAATCTGAAATTCTTTTGTTTGTTTCAAGGAACACTTTTAAAGTAAGGAAAAAAGTCTGATTTAAATATATCTTCATCGGTTTTTAAAACAAACAGTTTCCATCTATCCTTAAAGTTGAACAATCAGATTTCAATCATAATTAAATGATGCCATTTTAACCAACGTTTTCCCAAGAAAAAGATGATCAATTTTATTCTGGCTTGTCATCGAAATTTCTTACATGAGCTTTGTATCTCTCAACTGGTAAAAATTTGAAATCTTTATTCTGTGCGTGTTTTAAAGGTTTCATTTAGTCAATAAAAAAAAGCAGAGAAGAAATACAGCTTCACGATATTCCTCGTCTACATAAAAAATGCAGAGCATTATCAATGAGTTTAAGTGGCACGAGTGATACTAAGGTGGAATAATATTAATTGTGTACCGCAATAAGGAATTGAACTTGAAATAGTAACCAATCTGACTCTTTCAAATTGATTAGCGAGCATTAAACTCATGAAAGGTTATATTAATAAATGACAGTCTTCAAAAAGCTGGAGTATTCACAACTACATCTTGTTTGTTTTTGGTTCGATAAGCAAATCAGCCATCGAGATGAACTATTATTATCCATTCTATTATTATAGACGATTTCTATTAGAAAGAAAAATTATTTTCGTGTGTATGCAGGAGATGGAAAGAGAAAATAGTGTAAACAACAATTGCATGACGACGTGCTCGAATTATAGGAGTATAAAATGACTGTCACGAGATATGACTCAATATACGGCACATAAATCATTCGTAGTAAACTACTAGGAGTCGCTGCCATTTGACGAGTATTCATATATGTTTGTAGGAAAGGTTTAAAACGACTTTGTTGGTCAGATAGAAAAAAATACCTACGAATGCATTTTTGTATAGAGCAAATCCTATAAAATCACAACAACAAAAAAAAAGAACATGAAGACAGAATGAATAGCTGTTATTTTTTCTAATCCTATTCTTGATAGTTTACTTTTGTTTCTTCAAAATAATGACTGAAAGTTTTTCTAATTTTATTCATAGATGATAAATAACAACGTTGAGTAGCAGAGTATATTTTACAACATGCAGAATTTAGTAAAGAAGAATCCATCAAATTTCACTAATAATTTCAACTCGACATGTGTAAAAATAAAATGAGTGTCTACCTTCATACAAAAGAAGCCTAACTGTGTCCGACCTGTGCGCAGAACAAAAAATGTAAGAAATTGTATAGATTAGCTTATCAAGAAATATGGACAAATCCTTGATTAAAAAATGAAATATTTAACGAAGACGAACAGTGATCGGTTCAACTTACATGAACATTCATTCTAAGAAATAAGAGATTCTTCTTTCGTGTTATAAGGAACTCGTCTAGCAAAATCACATCAGAACATGTCTAATAAGAATCTCTTTCTAAGCATCACCAAAATTTCAAAATTCATTAGTTAAAATACTCTATTAAATGTAACACTGTTTGTATTCATATCAAGATCTAACGAATACCGGAGACAGATAAATGTGGTGAAGATATGGAAAATAGTGTATTATTTTGTCTACTTCATTGTATAGGATTGGAAATCGATTTATCAATTATTGAACACTTCTATTTTTGTAAAATAATGAATAGCATAATTACAATAATAAAAAATTTAATCGCAATACAACCCAGGTCGAGAAGTACGAGCGGGTTCCGGCAGGAAAACACCGGAAGTCGCCGGAACAGCGTGACAGTATTCCGGCCGGAAAATTTTCGGATTTTTTCCGGTGACTTCCGATCAAATTCCTCCCGTTGCCTGCAGGAAGCTGTCCAGAAGTTATCGGAAAAAATCCGAAAATTTTCCGGTCGGAATACTGTCACCCTGTTCCAGCGACTTACGGTGTTTTCCTGCAGGATACGGTGAATTTTCCCGCGTCTTCCCTGCAGAATCCTGCGGGACCCGGTGACCGGAATCTTCGACCTGGGAAGCACACCAGACTTCTATTTTGCGGAGAGTTTACTACAACCATGACATAATCATAATCGGTTTTCCCTCTCTTTCGACATACGCATTTCTGTCGTCGGTAAAACTTATTTATGTAGGTCTTTATCGAAATTATTCTTTGTTGTCGATAGATGGCGTTCTCGTAGTGTGTTCTGCTCATAAAGATCGCATTGGTTCAAGTAAATGATTCACTTGTATTACTTTTTAATGCAATGCTTAGATTTTCCATCAAGTTTTTTTTTTTGAAAACGTAGCTTTTTCGTTAGTTATCATTAGATTTTAAATGGCATCTTTACTTCGTCTTCTTCGCCTACGTTATCTAGTCCTTAGTACCACTGTTGGTGGTAGTTATGTAGTTCATAAAGTAAGTGTTATTTATTCTTGTCGATTTTTCAAATCATTTTTTCTTTTGTTCTAGAAATATAATGAATTACATGATAAACTACCTGATATATCATGGATGAAAGATTATATACCTGAAGAAAATATCGATGCATTGACAAAACATTTATTTGATCTAAAAGATTCTATTACATTTTCTAATACCGTAAAAAAAAGATGTTTTTTATATCAACAATTCTTATTATTATGTTTTGTTTATATAGACTAATATACAAAATCGTATTAAGCAATTGCATGAAAGATTCACTGATTATCTTTTAACAACAACATCTTCCAGTTAAGATATTTATTTATAAATTTTACTAAACTGAATATAATGGATTTTTTAGGATTATTAATTCTCGATCCATCATTTTCATTAAATAATTATGAACGAAAATCATCAAGTAAAACAACAAAAAGGAAAATTTAATTTTTCTCTTATTTTTTTTTTTTTTCTATTAGATGATCATTTTACATTCGCAAAATCATATCAAAATATGCAGACAACAAATGAAGAACAAGAAAAATTAAGAAAAGTTAGTATTTTTTTTTTTTGTATTTTCATTGAATTATTCTTTTGTTTGAAATTAGGCTGCTCAATTTCAAGCTCATGAACGTCAAGAAAAAATTCAACAAGAAATGATGACTATACAAATAAAATATCAACGTGAAATAGATCGATTAGAAAAAGAATTACAATCATTGAAAAAACAACTTTTATTAAAACAAGATCGATCGACAAGCGGAAAAAAACAACGAAAAATTAAAGTTTGTTGTTTTTTTCTGTAATTTAAATAAAAGATTCAAATTTTTATTTGTTTTTTTTTTGTTCTTTCGAAGAAATCACTTATTGATATGTACAGTGAAGTATTAGATGAATTAAGTGAATATGATACTAATTATAATATTCAAGATCATTTACCTCGAGTAAATATGATTTTTAATTAAAAAAATAAACAGTTTTCATCAGGTTCTAACAAACAATGAATAGAACATAATCTCTAATGTTAAGTAATTAACTGAAATCTAGATTGTAATTTTAGTAGCCAATCGAATGTTCTTATGTAATGAATTCTATAGCAACATTTCTAAGAAACTGGATATAGTAGTTTTTAAATCGCAGAAGACTCCACCGAAATTTTGACTCGCCCACTTGGGAAACGAAACCTAGGATGATCACTGCATTTTTTAAGATCTTTCCTGAAAAAAGTTGAAAGTTGAAAAAAAAAACATTTTTTGATCGACGTGATGATAAATTTCATTTTTTTTGGGATATGCTCAATTTTTTAAGACACGATAACCTTTCATTTTCGTTCTCTTTAAAATGTTATCGTTAAACAATAGCTTCCGAAACCTCAAAACTACCAGGTCTGGTGTTTTTTTTAGTAATCTTGCTACTATGGTTCATCTATACAATTTTGATAAAAGAAAACTCGATTGACTTTTAAAATCACTATTTAGATTTGAGCTAATTATTTAATATTAGAGAAAAGAATGGTGTTGTTAAACTTTCGAGACATTTAAAATCATTCCTGACTATTGAATATTCTGAAAAGAGTGTCGGATTAATAGCTCATTGCTGCAGAGATACTGTAATTTTTAGTAGAATATTCTGATATCGGCACGGCCAGCCATCGGTCCCCTTCGTTGGGGAAGGTTCG